CATCTAAAGGAGGGATACAAGGATGTCAAAGGGTCTAGAGGGCGAGATGTCTGAGGAGCAGCTGAGATCCCTTGGTTCGTTCAGCCCCGAGCAGAGCAGGCTGAGGGGAGGCCTCATGGCGGCCTGAAGCTCCCTCACGAGGGGAGCGGAGGGGCAGGCGCTGAGCTCTGCTCTCTGGGGACAGCGACAGGACCCGAGGGAACGGCATGGAGCTGGGACAGGGGAGGGTCAGGCTGGGGGTTAGGGAAAGGGTCTGCACCCAGAGGGTGGTTGGGCACTGGGACAGGCTCCCCAGGGCAGTGGGCACGGCACTGAGCCTGATGGAGCTCAAGAAGTGTTTGGACAATGCTCTCAGACAGTGAGAGTTTCTGTGTGTAGCCAGGAGTTGGACTCAAGGATCATTGTGGGTCCCTTCCAACTCAGGATATTCTGTGGTTCTGGGATTTGATGATTAGATCATTCTATGAATGATCTTGGATTTTCCACTTCTGGTAAGTGCTCTAGCCATTGGGTTGGATAGATCATTTCCTGCACTACCAAGAAATGAATCTGAAAAGAGTAGCAAATGCAATTGCGTTTTGTGGAGAATATGGTTCTGTCGCCTTCAGTTAAGTGTGACTGGAGAGCATTTACTGATCAAGGCTTACATGTCACTCTCCAAGTTTTTCGGTCCTGCGGTGCTTGGAGAGTGCTTGTCTAGTCTGGTGGAAACAGTCGCAAGTTATATAGTGCTTATGGGATGCTCAGACCTCATTTATAAAATGGCCACTGTGTGGGTAAAGGACGGCATCACGGGGACTTAAATGATGGCAAACATGCCTAACTCTGGTTTTGCTTGCTCAAATCCATTGATATATCTGACTGAAGCTGGAAGTGGCAGCAAGCAGAAGAGATGGGAGCAGAATCAAGGGTATTCTCTGGGCAAAACTCTTGTGCTAAATGCCTCACTTTATCAGAACTCACTTTATCAGAACTTATGTTTTAACTCTGAGTGTTTAAACTCCCTCAGTGACAGTCTGTCTGGCTAATACAGGCCATTTCTACATATTAACCTCAAAGGAAATTCTTTAATCTAGGGCATATACCTTATCAGAACTTTGAAGAAGTTCTGATACCAGAAATGGTTCTGATTTTGCTTCCTCAAAAACATTACTTTAAATAAATAAGTAAAATGGTAGATCTGGTCTGTCCACTGAGACAATCAAATGAGGGGTAAACTTCAGACACCATTCAAATGGGACGCAATTCATTCCCAGTGTTTCAACCTCTGGCCCTTCAAAGAGAGGAGTGTAAATACATTTTTAGAAGGAAGTATTTGCTTCTTCTGAAAAATCTCAGTTAAAGAGTGTGATATTACATGATTTCCTTAAAAATAACTGAATCATTTTCAACTGGAGTACATGAGTAACCAGCCTCGGGTGGTAAGTTTTTGGAGTGACATTTCACATATTGGAGTGCCATACTTTTACTAGTATGCTAATAAACCTATGCAAGGTGACCTAAAAATAGCTTTGGGGATAAGTTTTGGGTTTAAAATGAGTTTTCAGAGACAAAGTAGGCATGTCTCTGATTAAATTATACATTATAGAATAACATGTTTTTAAAGTGAAAGTAAATTTGGTGCTTTTCTGTCTTCTGTAGCTGAGGTCAGAGAATTCAGATCCTTTCTATCAATTACCGGGGATGGGGAGGTTCACTCCTCTTCAAGATTTCATGGACCAAAGCTAGTCCATTCATATTTCTGGGGTGCCTTGATGCCTACCATAAGGAAACTGTTCGTTTCTTTGAAAGTGCCCCACTTAATCCCTGTGGAAGCAGCTGTAAGTGGAGATGAAATCAGCTATGCTTATGACATTTGAGCTGGCAACCCATCTTTTTCTAAGAGTTGTAGTTCTTTCCCAGACTTACTATGTTTTTGTGGTTAATTTATTTATTTTTTTATTTCATTTTTATAGAAAATATTCAATATACTATAAGGACACAATTGCACCAATCCTGGTTATGGCAAACATCACAACTACCAAGGAATGCCAATAAGGGAAAGACATCACATGTACTTTCCCTTACATTTCTCATGTTACTAGTTATGTGTCTCTTTCACTAGGACAAAGACATTCTTTATTTTATAGGTTTAAAATAAAATATTTTAATACCTCTTGCATGATTTTACTAGTCTTGGGGCAGTGATTAACATGTGATAAGCTCCCCTGAGAGCAAAAACATTAAGTTGTTAACAAGTTGCAAAGTGTGCACATGTAGAGTTTACAGTAAGGTATTGGATGTCTGCCATAAAGTGTTTAAGAGTGGCTGAGCAAAATCAATGTAGTTTTGCCACTGACTTCAGTAGATGAGGATGTCATGCACTGGGAAAGTCTACTAGAAAGAATTTTGGGCAAAATTCAGTATTAGCAGCCTATTTCTATCTCATTCAAGAATTTACCTAATAGGCAATTAAATGATGTCTTCCTGATAAATGTTTATATACCTTGTGAGAACAGCTAGGGTGGTGTTTAAGCTTGATGAAAAATCCTGATAAAAAATGAATAAATAAAAGCAGCAAGGTGAGAAAAAATTATTTCTCCCTGTTTCCTCTCTGGGGGACCAGATTGGCCACCACTGTGTATTCCAGTCATTTGTTTTGGGAAAATTAATCCCTCTGAGATTTCCTTCTGCACAGAAAGTGTCTAACCAAACAAAAACTTCAATGGAAAGCTTTAATGGTACTACATATTTTTAGTATCCAACCAGTAGCCAAACAGACGTGTCCGACCAGTATGCAATGCAGGGGATGCATCTGACAAGCAGCAGAACTGACTATTTGATTTTGACTTCCTTAATTTTCAGCCTTCAGAATTATTCTTTCTGGACCCCGAAGCCTATATTATTAAAAATATCATGGCTGTTACGGAGGCCATCGGGCGTTTTAATATAATGAAATCTTAGTGTAAGTCTACGTGATTTTATATTTCAAATGTTTTCATCCATTCGGGTCAGAATTTTGTCTGTAATACCAGCTTCCTGGATTGACAGAAAAAGAAACAACTACAGCAGGAGCTGACCAGTGCTCCCCTTTCTTTAAGTAGCAGCCACTGCCTTTGAAATGACAAACTGCTTGTGTCATTCAGTTCCTAATAAACTTGGGTCCGTTTATCAGAAGCCACTGCCACTTTCTCTTTTGAATAAAAAAAAATAAAATAGGGAAGTGCCAGCTGAACAGTGCAGCTCTAGAGAAACAAATATTTCTATAATTTCTGTGAATTGTCGGAGAGAAATTCACTTTGCTAATAAAATAGTTTGCAGGTAGCAATTAGATATCATGTGGTAATTTTTTATGGGGGCAGATCCTTGAAGACATGGTGTTCTTTTTCCCCAGGAACAGGGGGAATCTTACCAATGTGTCTAAATACTTGATGGGAAGAAAGGAAGAGGGAGCCAGGCTTATCTCAGTAGTCCCCACAGAAAGGACAAGAGGCAATGGGCACAAATAGGAACACATCAAATTCCAGCTGAACACAAGAAAATATTTGTTACTGTCCAGCACTAGAACAGGTTTCCCAGAGAGGTTAATGAGTCTCCATCTATGAGGGTTCTCAAAACCCAACCAGACATTTTCCTGGGCAACCTGCTGCACCTGGTCCTGTGAAATGTTTGTGAGCTAGGTGGTCTTCCTACCTTTAATGCTTCTAACAGGGGCAGAACCTCAGAGTTAGACTATTTTCAAGTGTATCATTTCAAAAAAGCCCAAAGAAATAGTGGAGTATATTCCATTTCACCACACTGACAAATAGTGGTCACTGTAAAATTCAGGGCATTTACCTTCTCCACAGTTCAGCTCCATGTTATTGTGAATTCTGTACCTTGCTGACACAAACAGTGTCACTCTAGATTCATGGACAAGGCTGGAGGGGTTTTTGTTAGTTTGTCTTTCAGTAAGCAAGATCTTCGATTATTTCTCATGCTAACAAAACTAGGAAAACAAATTAGTTTTTATCCTTTAAGATGGGTGAACGTTTATTACTACTGCCACAAACACAATGTCACTAACAACTGTTTGTGAGAAACAGGACAAATTGCTAGAAGGGAATCACATCTTGAAATAAAAAATAAAGGAATATTCTCCATTGAAGAGGGAAATTCCATACAAATGCAAAATCATATTGAAAAAGCAACACTCTGAAGTCACGTTGTCAAAGCAAGGAACATGATCGTTTGATGTTTACCAAGAGCACAGCAGGAAAGAAGAATCTCTTTCACACTGCAAATAGCTGTTAGTGAAGAAAAAAATCACTAGTGTTTGTTACTTAAGAAAGACAGGTACTTAATACTGAAGTTTTCACATAAGCAGAAGTATGAAACATTCAGTATAAACTGCCACCATGTTATTCAGAGAGACACTGAAGGACAAAATGAGTTTCACTCCTTAAGACTGTATTTTCTCCTTCAATTTTTCTGTAGCCTTAGTGCCTTTCAATATTCGTGAAGGCTAGCTAGAAATGTAACTATCTTTTTAAGGCTCATGCTAATGTTTTGCTCTAGGTATAATTCATCTAAAAATCAGCATGAGTTTGGGGGACACTCCAGTGTATTATTTCAATGAAAAATCCCAAATCTGGATAGCCAATCTGTCAGTTTAGAAAAAGACTGCTCTGATAAATGCACTGCAGTGTTTACAAAAACATGTTTTATTTCTCTCACACACACATTTAATCAGTATATTAGATTGTTGTGGAGCAAAGTCCAATAAGGCTCTAATGGTAAGTATTTGGAGTGAGCATGCTTTGGCATACATTTCTTATGCAGATCCTCTAAGATTTTCAGTAGTTAAACCTTCACAATACCTGTGAGCTCTCTTGCTTACAGAACTTATTTGGTGTTTTGTTTCTCCCTCCATTGTGCTTTTCTCTTGGATGTACACTGTTTTGCAGAGAGACAATTAAATTACTGCCCTAGAAATTCTTCTGTGCATTGTAAACCAGTTTTAATGACATTTTAGAAGTTAGCTTTTTTTTTTTTTTTTTTCATAAATGGGAATTTCTGAGAATTCTTTTAATAACACATAGTTGAAGTGCACTTCTTGTAGGTAATAACAGAACAATTCCTACCCATTGCATTAACATACACTTCTGGTGTCTATATTGCATGCCTATCAAGTTGAGATAATTTAGGAAATATAGTTGCTCTGTCTGTGCAGTTTTGATTTTAAGGAGATGCTGGTAATAGTTTGGGAAATCTTTCTGAAACTGTTTTTCTGCATGAGATGACTTCTCATTTCTAGTTTACTTTTAATCCATTTGTCGTTTTCCAAAAGAATGGTAAGTGTTGATGTAGCTCTATTCAGCATGCTTGCCCTGCTGTTACAAAGCCAATGAATAATTATTAATCCCAAACTTACATTGGAATCGTACATGGTTTGGATACCAAAAGAAGTAGAGCAGGATATCTTTATATAATTCCTCTTTAAAAGGGCTGTTGCTTTATTAGACAAGTAGAAAAAGCAAAGCTGGCAAATTAATGCTTGTACATTTCATTTTCTCTGGTACTACGGTCAACAAGGAATTAAAAATAAATACTTAAATAATCAGATTCATTCTGAAATAATAACAAAGAGAATAAAGAACCTAGGGCTAACAAAAGCCAAATGCAAATTTAACATGCATGCCAAAGACAAGCCCCTTGCCATCTTTGTTTTTTTTAAAATCCAAGTTTACTTTACTAATTGGATGACACACGGACCAGATTTTGGCTCCACTACAGCCTTGCCCTTTTACAATACCAGCGGCCAGCATAAAATCAATCCAGGAATATCCCCTGGACAGATAAGTTAAATCTTCAGCATCTTCTGCTTCGGGGAGGAGTAGAGGCTGAAGTGGAGAAGCCAGGGCAGTCGGAGCAGCCCAGGGTCCTGTCTGTGACCAGCCCATGGGCAGCCATTACAAGGTGACCGCCAGGGGCTGGTCCCCAGGGTAAGATACAGAGCTGTGGGGACTGTCTTGGTTGGGTAGCCCAAACAAACATCTGGTGGTGTAACACTCAGGGGGTGTACCAAGACACCTATTTCCCCGTCTTGGACTTTCCTCAGGATGGGTTGAGCTTCCTCTCTATCTCCTCAGTGTAACACCCAGTGGTCTGGGTATTGCATGTCTCTCCGTGGATGCAATAGAAGGATTCTCACTGACTTCGGTGGGCTTTGGGATCATCTGTGATGAGCTGGTGATCATCTTCAAAAGATCCTTGTGGACACATGTATCTGATTTTGTGTTTTAGAATTGTGATCTTCCAGCTGTGCTTCTGCAGTTACAAAGACCTATCAATTAAAAAAATAAACTCATTTCTTTATACAATAAACAGCAGCTGACGCAAATTATCAAGTGTGGGGTTTTTTTTTTGTTTTGTTTTTTATTTATTATTTTTTTTTAAATCACCATATAAATAGAAGTTCTTAGAACACTAAATGCATGCCAAATTTCATCAAAGTCATTGGGACTTTGGGACGCAGAAGGAATGCCGTCTTGTGACATATTCTGTGTGATGCACTTCAGATGGAAACCCCCCCACTGGACACTGTTGCAATAACAAGCCCAGAAATTACAGCTGTAAGACTCAACTGCATGACTAAAGCCTACGCAGTTTGGACCCTGAAGGGCATCGTATAAGCCTTGACACAGTTACACTGTGAACACATGCTCCAGCCACATGCACACATGCTGTATTTTCTAAATGTTAAGGCCGTGACAACTTTTGCTCTTTGCTGTGCTTGTGGGTATGATCAGGGCAATGGCACAGAACAGTCTGAGCTATTGAAAATGTCTGCTGCACACTTCCTTCTACTTGTGAGAGCGTGACTAACCTTAAAATGGGTCGGAAATCACACCCAGGCTCACAGCTCAGTACTGGAAGACAGAGAAGAAAAATCTTTTGACTACTTAAATCCTAACAGCTTGTTTTTCGTGAGGGATTATTATTATTACTGTTGTTATTACTATTATTATTAATACTAATATTATTATTATTACTAACTTCAAAGTTTTAGGCCTGATCCTACTTCTCACACCTGCTTGGTGTTAAATCCTGTTCATCCTGTGTTTGAGGTTTCCACACATTCCATCAATTTCAGTAACATTTCATTTTCATAAACCTGCAGCGTGGCAGATCAATCAAAACATATAATATCAGAATAATTACAATAACTCCATGTCAAAATCTGTAGCAAAGGCTTGTCCTGGTAGATTAACAAAATGTCCTAAGTTAATTGCATTAGTTTAGAAGTCATTCAGAACCTTACGTAGTCACAAAATGTCATGCTATGGGACAAACTGTGCAGGAGCTGTGGCCAAGAATGATGGCAGCCAAGTAGGAAAGGTGTTTGTACTGAAAGGAACAGCAAGAAAAATCCCTTTAAAATATTTTCCTTTATTTTAAGGAAGAAGAATGTCATGTACCCACAGGTTTCAGACAAAAATTAGAAAAATTGTTAAGCAGCACAGAGGATGGAGGTGAGTACTGAATGTGGTGGAAGTAGGAACCCGTGGTGAGAAGTGGCTGTAGCTTTGCTGCACCTTCTCTTTAATATGTGTCCTTACCAGCTGGACCATCTTCAAAAGGCACAGTTAACCTCCTGTCCTCCCTGCTTTCCATAATATGACTCCGATTCAGAGGAGCCCATGGAGGCAGTGGAACTTTTTCAGCTGCGTAGGTGTAGGCAGGAGCCCTGCCATAAGTTCAGCCAAGTGACTTGGCCCTCTCAGACGTGTAGTAAACCCCAGCATGGCAGTGTACTACGAGCTGAGGCCACAATTTTGCTTCTGGTTTTGTTGCTGAGGCCTTGGGTAAGTTGGGTCTCCTGGTTCCTCTCTTCATGCCTTCCTCTCCCAGTCTGTCAAGAGGAGGTGAGGGGATAAAGAGGTGCTCACCTCTCCAAGGTAGTGCTAGGTTATGGGTGAAGCTCTGAAATTATTATACGAGGTTTTATTAGTAATGTTAATGTTCACAAAGTTGCTCAGCAAAATCACCAGATTTTGTCACTTTTGATCATGGATTGATAGTGTGCACAAACATTTTATACAGACATTTGTTCATAAACATCTAAAACCTGCTTTTTGCAGTCACCTGTGTTTGCAAGCCTGAGACTTCTTTTATTAATGCTTCTTATAAACAGTAATATAAAGCAAAATATCTGAGTGTCTACAGTGTGTTTGTTTATATAAACAGAGGCTGTGTGTACATTATCAACGTACACACCCAGATGTGATTCTTGCACATAATCACTATAATTTAAAGAGGTTATTTCCTGGTTCAGTGCAATGTTCTGTTTTCTTTTTTTCTTTTCTTATTTTTTTTTCCCAGAAAAAAATTAAGTTTTATCAATTTTGTGATTTCTTGTTAGTAAATAGCAGACCAAAACTAATTGCAGATAGGATTCTGATGTATATAATCAGAAAGATGATGCGTAGCATATATAGCACAAGAAATAATACCTAATGTGACAGCTTTTTGCTTTTTTTGTTTGTTTGTTTGTTTTTTTGTTGTTGTTATAGAAGGAAAAGGTAATGCCTTTCTTTGTTGTTTTACTTTCTTTTTCCTTATTTTTTTTCTTCATGTCTATAGCAAACTTGTCAATGGATTTTTTTTTTCCAGTGATTCTCTTGTACATACTTATAGACAGATACAGATATATATGTAAGGTTCAAACTGATTCCCAAGCATGTCACCTGATTAGAAATTATTTTTGCCTTATAATAGCATAGATGGTGAGGAGCTCCACTAGAGCATTCTAAAAGGAAATCTAATTTTTCAGCTTGAGAGAAATGGCTGCTAATTCTAAGCTACCATTTTCATTTTTCTACAGCAGAAATGCATATTTTCCCCAATGATAAAATTTTCTCATAATAGAAATGAGCCGGTCCCCACGGGTGTGGTTATCAAGAGATAATCTCACCCCAATCTGATTAGAGGCATAAGGCTTGTGCCTCAAAATGCTCCAGGGTGTGATTATCTTATGATAACCATACCCGGTATCATGTCTTATTGATTAACTAATAAAGCTTCAGCATTATTATTCAGAGGAGGAACTAAGATATCAGCAAGAGATCTGGTTCTGGAAGGAGGAAGATTCTTTGGAGCTCTCCAAATAGCCTCTCTTGTTCTATTATAACATCTCTGAAATTATGGGGTCACCAGATGCCAGTTTTTGTTTCTTATTGGTGATTATATCAATGGTTTATTAAAACTGAGCCATACCCACAAATACGTAAAGACCCATTTTCATTAAACTGTTCCCTTTGCATTTATATTACAGATTTAGGTTACACTGCAGAATACAATTATGTTCTCTGGAGAGGATTTTGTAGTCTAGACATTAGCTGAGCACCTCTTGCAGGGCAGCTCCACATTGTCTGTGTGGTTATGGCATGGGGAGGTGGACACATCTCTGTCCCACCAGTGGATCACTCCTTCCATGCCCACACGCCCTTTAAGAGGTGCAATAAAGCCAGCCCCACCAGCCCTGGGTCTCCTGAGACCTCCAGTCCCAGTCATCCACTGCTACAGGCTGAATACAGCTGTTTAGCCATTAAACCTGCTGAACAATAGCACAGAGGCCTTAAACAAGTGCTGGAGCTTTAACTAGAAAGCCACCTCCCCCTCTCCGCAGTGTAGTTTGTTCTGTATAAAAAAAAAACCTACTTAATGATGTGGGACTTGCTTGAACAGGCAATCTGAAGGCTAATGTCACAGCCAGCAGATTCTGATCTCCTCTGCATCAGTGAAGCACTGGAATTATTTCACTGACTCTGGTGGAGCAAAACCAGGTTAATAGATACATCTAGGAAGAAAATATGGCTGGTGTATGCAAAAAGAGCCTCACTAGGAATTCCCTTGCAGTGCAACTTCTACATATGGATGGCAAAGGAGGCAATATGTCCCTCTCTGTTAGAGTTAGATGGGAGTTTTTTTTTTTCTTGGAAACAAAGGCAATATTTACATCTGTATTGCAGTCTTCTCAATAAAAAGTGAGATGAAAATGTAAAACGATAAAATGTTTGATCAAACTTCTCATGTAGGGATGTGCAGCTCGCACCTAACAAAGGGCTCATTATACAGCAATGCAATCCACACCACAGTAATCCACTGTAATGAATTCTTTGGCAAATTTGCTGTGTCTGTTGTGTTGCCATACGCTCTGCTAATGGAGAATGTTAATTTCTGGAGCTAGCTGGAGCTTGCTGGAGAGCTGTCATCCTGCCCTTTCATGCTGTGTGGCAAAAATAGCTTCTTGTTCCTATTGCCAGCACAGCTCCCTTTTGGATAGTCACAGAGGTAATGCGGGTATAGATCAGGCTCTGAAGACCACTGGCATTTCCAGGATCCTGTTACCTACAGCTTCCCGGAGCAGGTTCACGTGACAAGTAGCCAAAAAAAACCGTCTTCCTTCAGCATTCTCACAGATGTTTCCACCACTGTGGCTCTGTCGCCATTTTTCACTGGGAATTGCTAACATCTCTGGAAGAGATGAGCTATTTAAGCTGTAACCTGTCTCTATTCAACATTTCTTGTGTGGGTTTCGTTCTGCTTGAGCCATATAAAGTTATAAACCAGACTCAGGGGTTTTACCATCCAGCTTCCATCTGCAGTCAGTGGAAAGAGATCAGCAGCTTCAGGAGGTGGGTGATGTTATCCTAGGGCAGGTACCCATAGCCGAGGTGGTAAACCACCCAGCGGGGTGCCTGTCCCTCACCCTGGACATCAGGGAGGGAGCCCAGATGGCAAGTTTGGGTGGGGTGCTCGTACACAGCCAGGTGAGGTGAGAGGAGTCCCGCCTTTACTACAACCAAGTCTTCACTGGAACTTGTGTTAACAATACGCTGTCTTCACTGCTGCCCTTCTGCTCCTGATCCATGTGGCTGGTGCTGCTTTGCAGACTGCAGGCTGTGGGCAGCAGAGCTGCCCGTCTCCGGCATCCAAGATTTAGTGCCGGATGCCAGGCTCCCTCTTAAGTCTTGTCTTTCCCTGTACAATGGTTCTGCTGCAAAGAAACATACAATTCCTGCCAAGGACACATCCTAATGAGGACATTTCCCCCTTCAACAGCACCTTTCTGTTCCATTGTTAATTAATATGAATAGAGTTCATCCTGAATCATAATGCATATTCTTCTTGTCTTGAATAGGTTACAGTCCAGGTGACAGAAAGGGAGGAGGCAGAGCGGATTTAGAAGACCAGAAAGTAAAATACATTCACGAAGTGATCTTATTTTAAATGTCAGGACATTTTATTGCTCTCTTGCAACTTGCTATGATAATTATAACTTTGTTTTTCTGTGATGTCCAGAAAGAATTTTTGCAAAAGTGTTTCTGATTTTGTCCATATGTTTTTTAGTGGAAAATGTCATGTTCTCCATATATAAGCCTGCTTACCACAGACCTAATCTTATTCCAAGAATTCTCTTTTCTTTTTATAGAAAGAGTAAAAACAAATGGTCATCCTGATTATCAAAACCAAAGTCAGTGTCTTTCCATTCTCTGAAACATCCTAGATTGAAAAGCACACTTTCAGGACAGGGCAAACAGGTGGTTACCAAGGGAAGGAGTCAGACTCCACGTTATATCACACTTTCTGCTTATCCTAAGCAATATCCCTCTGTCTGAAGTACATGGAACAAGCAGTTCTGCTCCCACAATGAGGTGGGCAAGGAATCTGAGTTACACTTGAGGAAGAGCACTGCAGTAGCCCCAGAACCCTTTTGAAACTTAAGAAGTGATTATCTGTTTCCATGAGAATTACTTTAGATGCGGAAACGCCAATCTTTAGTCCAATCTCCACTCCTTCTAGTCCAAAATCTCTGATCCTCTAAAGTTGTGTCATGGGGTCATATCATGATGTCATGATGAATAAAAGAAAGCTTTGGGGCACTCCTTTTTGAATTTAGGCCTATGCTCAATGGATGGTCTGTTCTGTTTTTTGTTTTTTTTTTTTTTTTTGTTCGTTTGTTTTTTAATTTATTTAATTATTTTTATTTTTCCAAAGCTCATCACAGATATGCAACCAACAGCAGTTGCCGTAAGAATGCCCATTTGCCTTCCCTCTGCTGCATATGACTTCCCTCTTCCTGCTCCTGTTGCTTGGTTGCTGTGTCCCTCTCTGTGTTCCCCATCTGGGCTCTGCTGCAGAGAGGCTGTGAGCAGCAAGGGGTCGGGGACCTGGTGCAGCCTGTGGAGCATCCCTAGTGATTACATAAAACTGCTAATCTTCCTGGCCCCTTTGTTGCCAGCACAGATCATAAGCAACCAACTATGTTATTTCAGTGAGCCAGGAATAATGCATCCAAATCATGGCAGTGCCCTAAACCAACCCATTCTACAATATCACGGGTCTAAGCTTTTGTGTGCATACACATATATGAGTACAATCTTCAGATGGACCCATTTTCCTGAAATCTTAACAGTATTTTAAGGATCTTTGAACAGCAAAGCATATAAACAGACTTTAACTTGGTGCATAATATTTTTTTAAAAATTAAGTACTTCATTAAATCTTTGTGGGCATGGAGTAGGGGCATAAAATATGTTATGACTGGAAAATATTAATCCAACAATTCGTATTTACTTTGTTGCTCATTTAAATGTGGGAGCATTCAGTTAATCATGAGGGAGGATTTACTTGTTTGTTTGTTTGTTCATTTATTGATTTATTATTTTCTTTGGCATTATCCCAGGCAATGTGCTGGACTTGCTGCACGGCTATGTTTACACAGGCACTGCAGTTATGAAGGGTTAGAAGTCATTGGCCTCGCTATTCCTGAATGGTACATTATTCCGCAGATAGTTTCATCTATTTTAATAGGAAAACTTGCACAGTAAAATATTCTCCAATACTGGAAAAGGAATCAGAGCATGATTTGTGCCCTTCGTGTTATGTTTTTGTCCATCGACTGTAACTTAGAGAGAAGATTTTAAAAAAATATATGTGTTATTTTGAGTGCTGCAACAGGAAATGCAACTACCTAGATCAGCATATAAAAAGGCATCCCATGGAGTTAAGCATGATGCACAAAAGCTGTAATGCAAGAGAAATGATACTTTAAACCCTGTACAGTGCTATTTCAAGCAGAGTTTTCTGGCAGATTTTAGTTTTTTGTAAAGACCACAAAAGTGTTGTTATTGTTGGATAAAAATAACAGCTGCAAGGGAGGCTGAAATTCTTTCTGAGATAACAAAGAACAAAGGAGAGACTTTGCATCGGGATTTGTGTCAGCTCTAACAGCTAAATTGTGCTCTCAGTTCGGTGGGCAGGGTTGCCATGAAGTCATTGTGTGACCACGCTAGCCCATGCCCAAGGGGCAAGTTTGGCTCCAGTGAATGACCAGATCCAGGGCCGAGGGCCAGCAGCCGGTGAATGAATTGTCCTTTCACTGAAGCCTTTCAGAAAACGAAGGGGCTCATCACTAAGTCCAGTGCCGTGGCAGAACAGGGAGGGAGAGGGATTTAAGATGTCAGTCCCCCAGCCTGGCTGGCAGGGCAGCCCCGTGGGTGCCAGCAGGGAGGAGGGAGTGTGTTGCAGCACAGTGTAGCTGCACCACTCCCGATGAGGTGGGACACACCCGGGTGCCATTCTTAGCGTGCAGGTTACATTTTTGCTACTGCTCAGAAAATTAGTGATTATTGAAGCCTCTTGCATTCAGGTCTAAGACCAAACAAAACACAATACAGCCCCAGGTCCCCTGAGCCAGAAATGGGCTTTTGTGGATGATGTGCATCAGTCTGGAATGTTTATTCTGTGCAAACTGAGGAACAACAGGATAAAGCGGAGTTTGTTCATTCCTGAATAAGTTAGCACATGTGCCCTGAAGAAGTTCTGATCGTGTAGGCTTTTGTCTGCTGGCCCTTTGGTCTACAGCTTCTGAAAATTATATACTGTTTCTAAGTCTTTAACACCCCTTTTTAACAGATAGGGTTGGCTGTGCACATTTTGGCAGCACTATGTGCAATGAAAAATGCAGATAGGAATGCTCTAAGAAAGTATTTTTTTAATTACTGGAAAATGTGTTTCATTTCACTGCAAAGACAAATGGCAGAAGGGACCAGCAATTTGGAAGTCACTCACAGACTGAGGCCAAGATACAACACATCATATTCCGCCCTCGAGCCGTGTCCCTGGGCCCAACTGCTCAGAGGCAGGGGCTGACCAAACACCGCCTTTTTGGGGTGCTGGGCTGAAACAGAGGGATGTCTCTCCTGTCCGGCCACGTTGGTGCCAGCAGCCACTCATGGTACCAAAGCCCCTGGTATCAAACTCATCTGGGACCTAGCCAAACACACGGGCTTGTGCAAAGGAACAGTCCTCTTAAAACAGGCTTTCTCATTTGGGAAGCTGATCATATAATTTGCCTCCAGTTACCGTGGATGTGTAATGGGTTTACTTGATTTAAAACCAGTTCTCCATTTGGGAGTGAAGGAGAGAACAGAATAACTACATGTTGGACTCTTTCCCTCTCTGTGGGTGACTTACAAGTTATATTTTAAGCACAACCTCATGATTCCCTAGCTTTTGCCTTGAGTGGGGCAATATGGACCCCTGCGAGATATAAATCTAAGCATGTTAATAAACAAGCAAGCAAGTCGCATCTAGTTGTCACTGCTAAGATACACACAGCTAAGGAGGGGTAAAGGGGACAGAGAGATGTACAAATGTTTGTTTGAATACAAGAGAGGTGTTTGCAGCCTTTTTGCTTGTTGACACATATCTCCATGCTCCCTGATTATTGCAGGGTTTGAACATTAAGCTATACCTGAAGTAAATAAACACCTGCACCGAGGCTGTAAAAAGCAGGTGAGCCCCTCCTGAGCCACCAGCACCTCTCTCCCATTGACAGCCTGAGCCACCAATGCCACCGGTCCACAGAGGATAGGAGGTGAACAGATTGGGCTAATGAGCAAGGGCAAAGAGCTGCAGTTTCCTTCCCCACAGCTGCACATATGGGCTGATGGAAGGCAGCTGGGCTAGCCCCAAAGCTTTTTCTTTCCAAACCCAAACTGCACTGTTTCAGTGGTGGTCTCCTGTGAGAGATTCCTCCAGCACTCACCCCTGTGGCTTTTTTGGATGCTGTAGATACTTGGCCCTTGTTCTTCGTTGTAGCACCTGTCCTGTGGGTCTTGTTGTAAAACTTCAGTCTTTTTGCCCTTCTTCAGAAAAGAGCAGACTTAGCACCCAATGTGCTGCAGCATGGAAACTGGCAGGGCACAGTCTGAGGCAGCCTGGAAAGATGATGTCCTACAGGTAGCTGAAATGCATGTGGACAGCCAGCCCTCTATTTGCCTTTCTGCGGGGCCATCAGTGCCTTTGGTCTACAGCCAGAGACTGGGATCTGATAATGCTGAAAGTCAGTGCTGTAGGCACCCAGTGGCATCTCTGACATCCAAATCTGATCCACGGGTATGCTGGAAATTTGGCGCCTTGGCGTGGGATTTGTGGAAGACAGCTGGGTGGGGAGCTGCCAGAGCTGGGCAACAGCTCTGCCAAGGAGAGGAGGGTATGTTTTGTATCCTGTCCTCCTCTGAGAATTGAAGGTCTTACTCTGGCCAACAAAACATGCCATTTTGGAATTGCCCTGCTGAAACGTCCCTGCCTTTCTCTGAAGGAGCAGATAGCTTCATGTTTGGCTTTGAGAAAATCCACGTTGCCCTGGTGCTGGGGCGCCTGCTGCAAGCCTCTGCTGAACGCCAGCTCGTCTCCATTGAGCTCTTTTCTTCCATGACGTTTGCAGAGGCCTGAATAAGTCAGGCTGCAGATGTGCAATGAGTACTGCCTGACAGGCTGTCCATTACCGTTATTTTTCTCATACTCCCCTCGGTGCCTGATTATTGTGTCTTTTTTAATATCAAGATTGTACGGGCATATAGGGAAGGAGATGTCATTCTTCTGTTTGTTTTGCTTTTTGGTCTTCGCATTAATTTAGCTCTCTGTGGTCCTAGGCTAGGATAGAAATGCAGATCTGACTCTCTGTGTGTTCTTGCATCTATTCAGGAGACAGTTGCAGTGTCACAGGACCTGCAACCCAGAGAACAGAAATCAGGATCATTGGCATTGAGCTTTTTGCAAACACTTTGTTCATAAGGAATTACTTGCTCACTACCATTTGCAAATCTTAAGTAGAGGGTGAATTCAGAGAGCCTAGGTGCTATGCTCTGTGTATTTGTATAAAGCCAGCCACTTTTACATCTGAGAAATTCTTTGCCGGCTGCTTAAACAGCAGGGAGCAGAAGAAAAAAACCTTTGACAGTCTTCCCCTGGGATGTCATGGGCTCTGTGATATCTGTGATAGACTGGCTGTAAAAGGCTACCATGGCACATGATGGGAATGATGCATTAATTGTCTTACGTATAACAGAACTGCTGCTAATCAACAGGCAGATCTGTAATAGCTGGCTTGACCTGTTTCAATACTAAATAAATATTTGGCTTCAGATAACAGTTAACATTAAAAAAACAAAAGAAAGAAAGAAAAAATCAACAGTGTTGTAGAAGAACATCTGGGGGATGGTATCAAAAGGAAACACATACCCAAGTTTATTTTTATCTACATTGCGTGCTACCTGAAAGTTTGACAGCCAGATGTCTGGCCTCCCTCTCTAGGCTGTGGAGAAAGTGCTGGGTAGGATGAAACACCTGCCAGAGGTGCTCTCTCCATTCCTTCTCAGGTGGCTTCAGTGAGCCTGGAAGTGCCTGTTCCTCTTCTTTGTCTATAGGTGGAGGCTTATGACTACCCTAGCTAAATGTATAACTTTTAAATAGACACAGCTGAGTAAGAGCGACCTCACCCTGCCGTGTGCACCCTCCTCACCTCTCCACCTGCTCTCTTCCACTGGAGAAAAAGAGAGTTTTTTGGGTCTGGAGTCACCTCCTATGCTAAAGCGATGGGGCAGCACCACTGCCAGCTCATGGCTGTCACCAAGTCCAGGCCATGAAGGGAAGCCCTGAGCTGAGGAGACCCCTCGCCTGCCATGAGGCTTGGTGGGACATGCCAGGGCTCGGGGCTGCACTGGCTGCCCCAGCATCCCTCAGCCTTGCAGGGCTCGGGGGGCAGAGCAGGTTCTGTGCCTTGCCTGGGGCTGTGGTGCCAGCGTGCATGTGCCACAGGAGCTCAAGGAGCCAGAGGAACACGTGTCAGCTCTGCCCAGCCAGGAGGAAATTTCCCCGTGTAAATAATGAGATCGACGTGGGATAGATTGGGTTTTGTATTGGAAAGAAAGGCGGGCAGAACCACAGCTACATCCCTCCTGGAGGGCATCTCCTCTGCCCAAGTAATTCCTCCCGCAGTGACTCCTCATGCGGGTCCCCTGCAGGAAGCATGGAGGGAAATCAGATTGAGCCACCACTGGCTTCTGCCAACAAAGCCAGAGTCACTCAAGTCGCTCATTCTTGTGCTGCATGCAATAGCAGTCAGTTGCAGGCAAGCTGAAGTTGCCAAAATTTCACTTTTCTTTGAAAAAAAAAAAAAAAAAAAAAAAATTAATAAGCAGAATTGTGAAGCCCATGTAGAGCTAGCCAGCACAACCAGCTGCCAAACCCTACTCAGGAAAGAAAGCAGATAAAAAACAAATACATTATCACTCCACCTTAGCTAGCCCATACCACAAACTTCTTTCTCCCCACTTGTCTGCCACTCAGACATTTAGACAGGCTGTCATTATCAGCCACCCGCTGCCCCAGCTTTGCCCCAATTTTTTTAAGCCCTACAGCACTGTCATTTGATGTGTCTGGTGAGAGAATTAAAGTAGATGAAGACTGAGGATACCACTCCCTTAGGTAATGATATATTCTGATTCCCTCCAGCTATCTTTCTGACAATCCCGTCCTCCTCATCCTGGCCCTACTCCCCTCTTCCACAGACTGAAGAATAATTAAAACTCCTCTGCATAAGGCATGGCTGCACTCAACACTCAGCTCCGACTCTGTTAAAAAATGCTTGTGACAGGTGGGGTACAGTCTGTGCCATAGCAATAAGCAGTCGGCAGGCAGTAGCCAGCAGAAAAGCAGACAAAAATACCTGGCATACAAAGGCCAGGAAGGAAAGGAGACAAAAACACTGAATTATGTACTTTTGAAACAGAACCTTAAATAAGACCCCATAAATTTAAACAATAAATATTAAAACTTAAAATTATTGTGTAGGTACTGTCCTGAATGCATCCAGCAGGTATAAAACCACTAAGATATTTCTCTTGATCCAATAGATATGCAAGAGACCTTAGCATGAGCCAGGATGTGCAGTTATTTGGAAATCCGGTAATACTGCAAATCAGGAGAGCTGCACCTGGGAGGTCAAAACTACAAGTTCCAAATAGTACTGGAAAGGAGAAAGGAAATATTCAATGAAGTGAACCACAGTTAATGCAAGTTGCCTAATAAGGGAACTTCAGGAAGAAAGTTTCCAGAACAGGCGGCTTAAATACCACCAGGCTGTCAACATGCCCATGCTGGGGTGATCCTGGAGATGTTCATTTTCAGAACTGGTTCTTCCTTCCAGCCACAGCACTGCCGGGCTCTGGTGCAATTAGTCACGTGTTTAGATGCAGCATTCACATTCAGAAGCTTCCTTCCTATCCTAAAAACACAGGCAAGAGAATCAAAAAATGCGTCCAAAACACCCTCCAAAAACACAGAACTAATTTTTAACCCAAAGGCACCCACACCCAGTTATTCTGACAAAATGATACTCTCCCAAAAAGCAAAGCTCTCGTGGCTTGTGATATTATCACGGCCTTGGAATGTGTGCACAGAGTTGCTTGCAGGGTTACTTTTTTTTTTCTTAATTGTATTCAATAGTTGATGGATCACATGCTATTGTAACAAGAAAAACAGGTTTGATAAAACAAATATGCTGGTGAATAGAACGTGTAGTCATAATTATTTTTAAGAGATAAAATGGGCAAACATGGGAATTAGGTCCAGAATAAAACTAAATGTGCCATGGTTTCCCTGATAATGTGGGCTCTGTTTCACGCTCCCCAGAGGTGGTGCAAGAAGCAGGCACTGGCCAGCAGGTGATCTCTGTCTGAGCATTTTTCTTTGCTGCGTGTTGGGCAAGGCAACACACACTGCTCTAATCCAGGCTGCAAAGGGACTCCTGGCTGTGGCTGGTCAGGGAACCCTGCAATATGCATTTATTCCTTTCTACAAACTCTCCATCACTTTCAGTGCAACCTGAATTGCCCATTTTATGTCAGGAAAGGGAGACCGAGGAGCTGAAGTAGTCCTTTAAGGACAGTAACCAACAGAGCAGTCTTGCCTGGGCAGCTGCAGCCCAATAACAGCTCTCAGAGAGCGAGATTTAACGAGGGCAGAGAATGGCAACACCCAGCCAAGGGGAAGGAGTTTTCACCAAGACCGGACTGGAAGAGCAAGCACGAATACGGGGGAGCAGAAAGACTTGCACTGCCCAGGCGTACCGAGGACACCCAGAAATGACATTTCCTATTCTTTCCCCCAGCTCTCAACTCTCTTGTTTTATCCGTAAGTGAAATGGGTGACTGCACAGCCAAGAAGTCGGCTTGTGAAGGCTGTAAATGCTCTGCTTATCACGTAGCCCTCAGAGAATCGAACCGTGGACTGGAACAACGATGTGGTGGGCTGCACAGTCCCCGGGGGGGCTACCTGCACCTGGGGAAGGTCTGTGGATGCAACTCCAGCTGGGCTTGTTTGAATACAAACACGAATTAAAAGCCAGGTCCCACATTTCAGCCCCGAGACTGGTCGCACCCAGGAGCCCAGCCGCGGCTGTAACAGGAGTCCTGTGAGCGAGGGCCCCTGGCTGGGGGTGCCAGAGGGTACCAAAGGCAAGCCACAACAGGTTTGGTGGGTTTTATTTCTGGTGTTGTGACTTTAATAGGTAGCCTAAGTTTTCAGGAGGTGTGGTTTAGATATCAGAGATCATACGCCAGCAATTACACACTTGATGATTTGCATATAGAGTTTATTTGCGTATAGAGCCCTAT